ACAATCTTGTGGTACAAGCAGACATACAAGTACATTCACAGAGACAAACGTACAACAAACAGAGGCTCGACGTCCTTTGTGCACGCTATTCAAGCTTCGCTTTGCTAAACCATGCTCTATTGTTTAGAAGATTGTGGCTATTATTGCTTGATAATGGCGCATTAATTGCAGAGACCGTCTACGTGCTAGACGCCAAGATTGCATGCATTGTGAGGTCTTTCAACGTATGCATGGCATGATCTTTGAGTAAGGAATATATATTTACCTTATAATTTTTAAGGATTTTTATTAATACGATTATAAAAGTAATAAAGTTATACGTAATATTTGTGAAAATAGTGACTGTTATGTTCTAAAGATTTTAACATGATTGAAAAATATAAGTTCTAACTTTTTCAATAAAGAAAAAAATCTTTTAAGATTGTTTTTGACGCTGCCTTGAGGCATGTTTTGTTTGCAGGATTACAGATAAAGTTTTTGTCAAAGCGAAGTTTCTGTACAACGGCTTGTTTGTTGGTAGAAATCCGTCGTGCTTTTCGGTAACTTTCGGCTTTTGTTTCTTCGCGTTCATTTTTTTAATTACTTTGGAATAGACTGGATTATAAAGAACATTGTTATCTTAATATAAAAGCCGTAATGTTTTATTGCAACCAAAATATTGGCAACAGTTAGTCGTACGTAGATACTTAAAAAAAGGAGATTTATGATTCAATCAAAACAAAAAACAGACATCGATTAGACCTCAATTTAAGATATTTTATCTTTTAGTTCTATGCTCAATAAAGAAGTGGACCACAAAAGCTTATAAACGTTATTATACTCAATTTTATGAGTTTTGAAGGTTGAAATATAAAACTAGACTATCAAAATATAAGAGGTTCATGGTTGAATACAACAAAAAATAAATGTGAGTTTTATTGCTTTTATCCTAATAAAATACAATAAATGATGGACTAAATACGTCAATAGAAATCTAGTTTAATAACAAGGCATTTTTTATAACAGAAGGGGGCAAACGAGCAGCGGGAACACCGAGGTGTTCAACGACGCCCATGTACATCAGCAATACCAGAGGAACCGCAGATGCGTTGTCGGCATATATCTTATCATCAGCATCTTTAGCAATGATTACATTTTTAAGTTTTATTTTTGCCAGTTAAACGAATATATATTTAGATTTGTTTAGTTCCTAAAGGGTTTTTAACATTAGAAATAAAACAAAATAATCTTACAACGAATTACAACATTTGTTTTAAACTATTAGTAATGCGGCATCAAAAAGCAAACAATTGTAAGTCGAAAGAGGTTTTCGGAGGTCAAGGACTTTACAAAAATAGATAGCGTGTTTTATGACAATAGCGCTCTATATGTGGAAAATTGATTATTCAATTACCTACTTACATTACTCTATCTCTACATCTATGACCACAGTTATAATAATATATATGAATTTGTAGATCTCCACCGTCGATTAAAGGTAGGTAACGCATATGCAATTGCGTATGTCTATGGGCTACGATCACTTTGCAATTTTAGCGATTTCAGGTGGCGGCTCGCTCGTTTGCCAACTTAAGAATAAAAAAAAATTAGAACCCTACTTTATCCATTTTCCATCCAGTTTAGTTATATAATGTTAAGGTAGTGTTACCTTAAATCCTAACCTTTAATCATATTTTATAGTAACCACCTCTGGTTGTTTTAACCTAAATATTTGGCTATTTGAAGTCATAAAGGGGTGTTAAGGACAGGTCAATGCACTTGCCATGTATATTTTGATTTGAATTTGCTTTATCATGTTAATAAGGGTACTCAGCGAAGTAGAACGAAAAGCAATGTCGTTAATTTTGTTTTTTTTTTTAAAAACTTTGTGCCTTAATGTCCTTATGCCTTTCCGTAATGCATTAGAATATGATATTTTTAGATAATGGTAGATTCTCTTTTAAAGTACCTTAACTATATATATTTATGGTAAGTTAATTTTTATTCAAACTGTGGCAAGATATAGTCTAAACTCTAAATAATAAAATTAGAGAATTCTTGGTCTATAAATTGATAATTATCTCTTTATATGTATCCAAAAGCTAATATCCGATATAAATAATTTAACTCTAAACTAAGGTCGCGAATATAAATTATTGTACACGCCTATTCGTGTACTAATCGAATTTCGCAACGTGACCCTGCATCACGTTTTCCTCCCTTTTACGACGCAAATGTACTTCCCTTGTATTTTCCAAGCCACGTAACAAATTACGCATAATTTAACCGTATCCTAAGCCGAGAGAACCGTCGTAAATGTAACGAATTTACTTTAATCCTGACTGTACCGAGAAATGTTGCTACGAAATAAATTGGAAATGATTTTTGTGCGGCATTGTACAGTCAGGTCCCTTCGCGATGTTCAACGTACAGAAAAATTGCCTTGTTCTTGGCAATGAGACAAAATCTGCCCATTCTTATGGAATGCCCAATTAGGTACCCATTAGCCTTGCGACCTACCATTTTAGGGCCCGCATCATCGTATCAATATGTACGAAAAGTTTACACGACTGTCGAAATAAATGTGTAATACCGCCAGATTTCCCGATAGTACTTTTTGTTTATAGCTTGTTATAGAACTTTTCGCGAAACTCACGTTTTCGTAAAATGAGTTTCGTATAAATAAGTTTTGCTATTTGCAGGCATCAGGCAGGAGGCAGCGCAGGACAGGCGACGTTGGCGATCTCTCGTGTGGGGACCAATACCTATTTTGTTTCGCTGGGTCAGCGCACTGTAAGTACGTACATACAATTTTATGTACGTATAATAACATTTCTTCTTAAGCTAAGCTTTGAGCTTATCAAAGTACTGGTAGTGATAAATAAATTGCGCGGCTTAGTTGAAGTTACATTTCACCCAAAACCAACTCAACTGTGTACTCATATTATGCGTAATATGTAAATATTAAAATTAACAAATTCATATTTGATATAAAACAGAAACCCTTTTCACCTATTTAGACATAAAGACATAATTAATTAAACAGTAATGTTATGAGGAATATTAAAATAGGCGCAGTACGGGCGTGTCAGGGACACGAACGGTTTAATATTAGTCTAACATGATAACAATTAGTCCGTCGATACTTAGCATACAAACCTCGATATGACTACGCCCTTCATTACGCGAACAGAAATTTGAATTTGGAACAACTTGTACTTTTAAATACGCAAAAATAAAAACAATTTATATATCAATAATAACAGAACACCGAAGTATGGATGGTTTGTGTGAAATTTTACTTATATTATAAATACGAATGTTTAGATGGATGGATGTTTGAAGGTATCTCCGGAATTGCTGCATAGATCTCGTTTAAATTTGGCATACATGTAGAACATAGCCTGAAAGAATACATAGGCTATCTATTACGTTTGTTTTTAATTCCGCTTAAACGGTGTCGCGGGCGACAGCTAGTAAGTTATATGTAAGAATGGAGATAATTCTGTATTACGGTTGGTACAGATGTATGGAAAGAACATACTGAGTCAACTTAAGGGCTGGAACATGATGATGACAGTGTGTGGTTTTACTTCTGTGTTTTAAATCAGTTTACACTGCCAAAACATTAAAATAAAAACATGTTGCCAAAAGTCTCTCGGAACAAAAGTCTACTAATTTTCGTATTGTAATTTTTTCGTCATTGCGAATTCATGGTTAATGATACATCGAAAAACTCTACACAAAGGTTTTATGTTCATTTGGCAAAAATTTAGCATAAATATTTTCGGAATATCAAAGCATTGTTTCCCTTATTGTGAGTTTCCATTGTCCAATTACATTCTACAGATAGATGTTGCTGGCAACACTTTGAAAATTAAATTTACAAATAATTTATTTGCGTACTGGCATTTGCTGAACGTAATTCCTTTGTTCTCGTTTGCACTGTGGTCGTAAGCCGGGGATTGCGGGCTGACTGAAGCCGTACACTCGCTTGTGTCAAGGGCGATGTCTAATCGTATGGCAAATCACATTGCCGTGTCAAAGTATTTGCAAATAGATTGAAACATTTTGAAATTTATATTTTCTTATGTTTAAATGTCATATTCCTGTCCTCTATGTAGGGTCACATCCATCTTATGTCTCCATGGCACCGTTCAGTCAATCCATCTCTACCTTGGCTTACCCCTACCGATGTACCCTTCCACATTTATTATTGAGATCTTGGCACATGCCATTCCCTCTTCATAACAAAGATGAAATGTAGATTCGAATAAATTGTTTAGTACAATTTTTTTTTTTATCTTTAACCATTAGACTTAGTTAAAATATTTTATATTAAATTGAAAATTGCTATTAAATGTAAGTTAACATCAGTAAAGTAAATCTGCAAATTGAAGAGGTTGGAGTATCACCGGAACGTTTCACCTCAAAGTTAACACAACAGCACTCCAACTATTTGCCGGCTTTACTTTTTAAAATATCTGCAACTCGTTTAAAAAATTTTCATATTAAAAAAACCAAAATATTTTTTTTTTAATTACCAACCAAATGACGAATCGTAATATTCACCTGGTTAATTTGATTTTTTTTTAAAGAAATCAAACGATTATATTTAATTAGAGCTATTCTGAGATGTTTCATAAATTATGTGAGACGGAATGGAAAAGGTATGGGTAGGGAAAGAATACTTTATCTTTGGTATTTTACTTGCTCTGCTTTTACTTTGCAGTCTCTACGTTTATATAGCCCTTTCAGTAAATCAAACTAAGACCAAAATGTATACATTTAATTTAAAAAAAAAACTGTACGGTTTGCAAATTTTGTAACACCGCTACATTTGTTAGTAGGAGAAAGTTCCTACTTTGAAAATTTATATCTAAATGAAATTAAATTAATTTATAATGCTATATTTGTTCTTAAATTAACAAAAGTTATGTAACCATAGCCAAAAATCCCGGGTCATGTCCTTGACACGAGCGCCTGCTAAAATATTGCGGCAAAATACCTGTCGTACATACCTGGTTCGGCGTCGCCGTTTCCGTCGTCATCTCTTCGAGAGACGTCAATCTACTGCTCCTTCAGCGACATGAACAGTCGGTATGTCACGGGAGCAGTACGCCCAGCCGAGCGCCGGATTCAACTGGCCATCGATGCCGGTAATATCGATTAAACTCGTGTCCTTGCACTCGCGAACCGATACTCTATGCTGAAAACCGATTCAACACTGGCACACAAATGCCAAAGAATTACCTACTTGTTTTATAAAGGAAAGAAGGACATTCTAAATTTAAATCGAAATTCGCGTGTCCGCCATTTTCCTTTTCTTAACAAAGTCCTTATAACACATTATCTAATCTAACTAAACTAAACGATTAAAGCGATACAGAGACATTATAACTACTTATTATGATTATTTTCAGTTAAAATTAAATATATTTTCTCGAACTAATTGTTGCGCTTGGGACGTCACCGCCGGGGTGAAGGATACGCCGGCTTTGGCGGCGGCGAGCTAGGCCCGGGTGGGGTGTCAGTTCTGCGACTGCGCGAAACTCTATCTCTGTGTGCGTAATTTGCGTGTATGCTACAATTCCGACCAGTATAAAATGACCAGCGCCCTCCCCTACTACATATAAACTCAGTACCACAAGGGGAAGTTTTATCGAGTAAAGGAGATCATTTAAAACTGGATTCTATTCACAAATACAATCGATAACGCAGAACGCTCAGATGTTAGGAAATGTCAGACATGGTGTCGGGCAGACAAAGAGAGAATAAAGATTCGCTAAATTCTATAAAAAGCTTTTGTTTTTATTAAATTAATCTGACAAAAAGGCATACAAAACCATAGAATTTTATTCTTAAAAATAACCCAAGCATATATTCCATTGTTATGTGATTCTCGATAGTTCGAAGGACTGGATTAAAATAGAATAAGCCTGTGAAACATATAACAATATATCTATGTATTTAACATGCGGATGAAATAATTAGTTCTGTCATATATTTTTTATTTATATATCCTCTAATAATCTTATCTTACTAATTTTATAAATACGAATGTTTGGACGGATAGATGGCTATTTGTTAGAAGATATTTCCAGAACGGTTGTATGGATTTCGCTGAAATTTGACATAGATTTAAATTTAGAACATAGTCTGGAAGAACACATAAGCTACTAATTAAGTTTTTTTATTACGCGCGGACGAATTTGCGGACGACAGCTAGTATTTATATAAAATACAAGCTATGGTATATGCAAAAGTATTTCCTATTTGTCTCGTGTATTTTTGCGCAGAAAACCAGACGCAGTCATCTGTTTCTGTAATCAACTGTGACAATGTACTACGTAACTTACATATTAAGGACGATAAATTTATTTAACAGAGTCGTAAGAAATTAATTACAAACTTGTAATGAATATCATCATCAATCCGTCCCTAACCCTATGGAGGGTCGGCAGAGTATGTACTACTCCTTCAAACAGCTCCATTTGTCTTCATACCGAAATCCCCTGCTTACACATATCCTGTTTCACACAATCCATCCATACTTTCTCTGGTGTTCCTCTACCTTTGTAGCCATCCACATTCAATTTCATTACTTTTTAGGGTTCCGTACCTCGAAAGGAAAAAATGGAATCCTTTTAGGATTACTTTGTTGTCCGTCCCTCTGTCTGTCGAGTTCCTTTTTCTAAGGAACACGTTAAGGTATCAAGCTGGAATTTATAAATATTAAAAGCGAACGCAATTAAAAGATTTCTTAAATTAACGACACTGGCAAGAGTATCAAAACCTACAGGGTTACTTCCCGTGAACACTGAATTTTGAAATATGGCGCGAAGCTACATCGTATATCACTGATAAAGGAAAAATTGCGAAAACCGTAAATTTTTTAGTTTCAACATATAATAAATAAATTTTTTATACTTTTGAACTTAATAACGCTTTTCCTCATGACGGCGTACAGGCATTAAATTGAAATCCATATCAAATAACTTTAAGCTGTTACAAAATCAAACTTGTCAACGCATTCAAAAGAAACGGCAATTTAAGCGGCATATTTTCAAACTCGCAACTACTCGCAAGCGAATCAAACCTCAATGATATTTCCATTCGACCTAGTATCTTGAAATTTGGCATGAAGCAATCTTTTATAGCGTATGTAAAGGAAAAATTACGAATACCATAATTTTTATGTCACATGTTTTTTTTATTTATTATAAACTTTAGTAAGTTTACAGTACAGCTTAATAGTAGCTTTTTAATTATTTAGTCTATTGTCGTGATTTAATATTGAAATGACAGTAATAAGTACAATAGTAATTTAGTACGTAAGTATTAGTAATTATTATTTTGTATCACTAATTAGTAATCAGTATATTAGTATTCCCAGGGAGGCTCTGGAGTGGATCCCGGTAGGAACAAGAAGACGTGGCCGTCATAAACAAACTTGGCGGCGCTCAGTAGCTGCTGACATGAAGGCAATGGGGCTGACATGGTCCGAGACCAAACGCAGAACCCAAGATAGATCGAAATTGCGGCGCACTGTGTACGCCCTCTGCCCCACTACGGCGACATAGGACTTTAAGTCAAGTAAGTCATATTATTATAGTATTAGTGTTAATGACAGTGTCAGGTGAAATGCAGGGTGTCCGGCCTTTCCACCCAAATGTCCGGTAAATCTGTTTCAGTTTATTCTAACTAGAATAAAATGCAAATGTGTTGATTTAATTGCGGCTGTGTTACGTAAAGGTAACGAAGTCATGTAGTTTGATTGCCACCATCGTTGCATAGCAACCAAAAATGAAACAAAACTAACATCGTTATCACGAAATAATTAAAAGGGTTGTGTTTTATTTTTTTTCATTCAGAGATACCGGTTTCTGACAGTAAGATATCTTCAATTGGTGTTCATCGTAATCTTCTTTATCTTTTTTAGGGTTCCTTACCTCAAAAGGAAAAGCCCTTATAGGAACACTTTGTTCACCGTCCGTTTATCTGTCAAGACCTTTTTGTTTCTGATAAATAACAGTCAGTTGTTTGGGTAATTTGTCCCCACTATAGGAGTTTGAGTACCTACCTTAAGCTGATTAGTCCTGAGTAAGCTACGCCATAGGCCCATCAAGCTAGATGCGGATTGGCGACTTCACACGTCTTTGATTTGAATTGCTTCGCACATTTTTGCATCACGATGTTTTCCTTCACCTTAAATATCAATTAAGAAATGTCTAAATGCAATATTGCACTCGATTCTGATTATCCATCAATAAGCCAGAGTTCCGCATACCGATTTAGAAGAATACTTGTGCGGCATGTTATCGGACGATCGTTGAATCGCGAACCGCGTTCAACTCGTGCGCATTTAGCCTAAATGAGATCGATAGGGTTGGCACTGATGATTTATTTTTAATTTATCATTTATTTATTATTATCACCTAGAATTAACAATGGCACGAACAATTTTGTACAAGATAATAAGAATTGTCCACCGAATAATAAGCTTCTTATTTGTCTTTGCAAATATGTTGGCGGCTCAAGGTCACAGCTTCGTTTGCGAAATTGGGCATAGTCTAGCTTTCCAACAGTGAAAGAATTTTTCAAATCGGTTTAGTAGTTTCGGAGTCTATTCAATACAAGCAAACAATAAAATCTTTCCTTTTAATTATATTATTATAAATATATGAAATCACAACTAGGATTAAAACAACGTTATAGAGTGTAGTAATACATTTACTCTGCATTCATATAAGCGATTCTTAGAAGAACAAAACAGACTTTTTTCTTCATCTTTTTCTCTTAATTCCTTATTGTGCTAACCCTAACCCGACAGAATCTCAGCGTTGCATCCGCACACTCAAATCAACACGGTTAAATTTAGCCAGTCGAAACGGTGATGCCAGCGGCTTCGTACCGCTCCCAACGCCACCACACCTCGGTCTTCAGTCTTCGCGATATACCAGACACGGTCTCCGTAAAACAGTCTTCGAGTCTCAGATCTCCGCCTCAATGAGATCCTAGTCTCGGAATCGTTAATCTCTCGAAATCTTGAACTCTTCGTTAATTTAATGAGAAACTAGGTCTTTAGTTACAAATTGATAAGATTTCTAACTTAAAGATTAGTATCAGTGATTTTATGTGTGCTTATTTGTGTTTACAATGAGTTTTTGATTGTTTTTTTTTATAAAATTGTGTGCAAAACTATAAAGGTAAGTTGCTTAGTTATTTATGGTTAGAACGCACATATTACTGGTTTAATTAATATCAGTTTATGAAGATAAAAAAAAATGTAAATCAACAAATTATTTCTGGATTTATTTTTAAATATTGTTCCTTGATTTTTTTCTTACTTAATTTTATAAATGCGAATGTTTGGATGTATGTATCTCCAAAACGACTTAAAAGGTACAGATGTAGAACATAATCTGGAGGAATACATAGGTTACTAATTAAGTTTTTTCTTAAGTCCCCTGTGAATAATAATAATAGTGAAAAAAACGGAACCCTTATAGGATCACTTTGTTGTCCGTCTGTCCGTCTGTCAAGACCATTTCTCTCAAAAAACCCGTGAAGGTATCAAGCTGGAATTTATATCAAATGTTCAGGTCTGCGGTCGCTAGGAGCTGTGAAAAAATAAAACTTCTAAGCCAACCCAATGAAAAGATAAACCCATTTATTTTATTCTAAGTAGAGATTTAGGTCGACACTGCACCTTCATAACTCTGTCTACCCCTTTACATCACAGACAGTAGTGCTTTATCAATTACATTTCCACACCAACTCAAGTTTACTTTGACTACATTATTTACACCACAACGTTTTCTGAATCGAATTAATTCCAGAACCGTAATTTATTTAATTCAACGCCCACGTTTAAAAAAATATTTATTCTCGAGAATATTTAAAATAGACTTAACACATGTTTCCGTCGTTACAGCTTCAATATTTCTGCCAAGACTACATAAAAATATCTTTTCATTGATAACGTAACGTAAACTTACGAAATTTATAAGATTTTTCTAATAACTGGGTTTGCAATGACAATAAAAAGATTATTATTAGGCTACAGATTTGCATTAAGTACTCGTATAGTTCAATTCACATTTGACAACTTATATTATAATATGCTTAGTCTGAAAATGAATAAAGAATCGCCAGATTCCATCCACACCATCTCGATGGCTGGCAATCCACAACCGTGCGGTTAGCGCGAACCTTCCTGCCTCGCACAGCAGCGTTGAATGGTCTGTCCTCGGCGGTATTTCCAAACCGCTACGACTTAGGGTCCTTTAAGAAGCGAGCTTATCACTATCTCAAAGGCCGGCAACGCATCTGCGGTTCTTCTGGTATTGCTGGTGTCCATGGGCGTCGTTAAACACCTCGGTGTTCCCGCTGCACGTTTGCCCCCTTCTTTTATAAAAAAAAAAATCAATCGATAACAAGACTTTAGTTGTGCTGAATCTTGAGTTCAAGTAGAGTT